TCAGAGACACCCGCCTAGTCTTCAAAAGCCCAACAGCAGCAGCAGAAAGAGCTGCCACTTGTGGCCCTTCCGAAAGAGGGTAGGTGACTGCTGGGCCTCAGCCCACGCCCCGCCACCGCCACCAGGGCACCAGGTCGGGATGCGGAACCGGCCTTGGGATAAATGCGCTGACGCCCGACGCCACGCTTGTGTCTTTTGACAGATGACCTAGCAAGCCAGCAGCCGGGGCTCCTGGCCCACCACACTGCCTCCAGGGTCTGCACTGCCAGGGACCTGCTGATGTCATAGTCACTCGGGCTCGCCTTTCTGCCCCTGCGACCCGCCGCGACCCTCTGCCCATTAGGCAGAATTTCCCGCCTTTGCTGGCGCCGCTCAAGCCAGAGTCGCACTTGGGCACCTTTGCCTTCATGGGCCACCCCTTCTTCCAATGAACACAAATATTGACATTTTTATTTTAGGATTTCCTTGGTATAAAGACCAATATATTGGTGCTATATATTAAAACACTTCTGCGACCTAGAATTTTTATTATTATTGAAGAAATTAATATTATGTTCGCAGGTCCCTAAAAGCCGTGTGGGTCCCAGGCCCTGTACCTGCAGTGCAGAGACCCTGTACCCGAGGCCCACTTTGGCTCTCAGCTAGCCCTCAGAGGGGCTATTTTCAGAAGGAGTGTTTGGGAAGGGAGAGGGGGTCTGCAGCAGTCCCCTGACACCTGGGCGCAAAACAGCGCCTGCACTCCCTAAGAAGCATGACCTTCGGAGGCCTGCAGGTGGGAGCCTTAATTAGAGCCTCGGGCTCAGTGGCATGCTGCCTGAGGAGACCAGCTCCAAGTCTCCTGCACAGCTGAGCAGGGCCATGTCGCTGTGGGGCCTTTCACTTGGGGTGCAATGTTAGCCTGTTCATTGATGCCCATGTTGGCAGCCAGAGACCTGGAAGCATTTTCCCAGAAATACCGGTCCACTGGGGGCCTTGCAGGATGCCCCTGTCCCTCCATAATCCGATACCTCTGAAATCCACACACAAAGGCTGTGGTACTAAACTCAGGGGCCCCTGCAGGTGAGGGCGACGCCTCCACCCCCAGAGCGCGCGGCCCCTCCACCACCTGGCTTGACCTCCTAGCTCCCAGTCTCAATTCATTACCCTGAGGGCTGCCCTCCACACTTGCCCTAACCTCTGGAGCCACCTCCCCATGCCAGGCCCTTGGCCGAGGCCAGCCAGATAGGAGGGCTCTTTCCTGGGCCTGAACAGCCATGGGGGTCACAACGTGCACTCTCGGTTTCCGTGCACCAAAGCTGCCCTTCCAGGCCCGAGGGACCCAAGGTCCCAGTCGACTACTGTCACAGTGTTTCAGCCCATCCTGCACAGAACCAAGGTTGTGGAACCTTGTAAGCCACCGTGGTGCACCCTAAAACTGCGTCCCCACGGCGAAGTCTCCCTGGCCCCCACCTCATTGGCCTAGGTTGCGTTTTCTTCCAAGTTTTGAGACCCATTTACATTTTGCGCCCCAGGGGCCAAGCGGGGTTTCTGTGTGCAAACTGGGCCCTACCACTTCAAGAGCTCGGTCCGGGCTCCAGACTCTCCTCGTTGGTGCCCATAACCTCCTGTGTCCACATTCAGCCACAAGCCCAGGCGTGATGCTCTTGTGGTCAGATTGCAGTCCTCTGACCTGCTTCACCTCGCACCGTCGTCGGGAAGGGAAAGACAGAAGGAAGGCCATCTGGGGAGTAAAGCGACCAACAGGTCCGACTCAGGAGAGAGATCAGGCCCTCCACCCAAGGCCTAGGACCTTGCCACTCCCAGGGCATGCCCAGTCTGCCTGGAGATCTCTCTCGTCCCCCTGCTCCCTCCTGGCCCAACTCTGGCCTGGTGGCAGAGTCCCATCTCCAAGGAAGAGTGAAACCTTACAGGGCATGATTCATTGGGTAGCAGGCCCCTCAGAGCCACAGCACAGATTACATTAATCAGTGTCAGATGGCTAAAACCGAGAGAGGAATGTGAGTTCTTCATACAGCCAGCAAGATACCTGTGCCAGTGAATCATTGATTGGAGTGGGGAGGAAGGGCGGCAGGGACTGGGAGATTCTTTGGAGACTCCAGCAGGTCAATGACTGGTGCGGGGCCCCAAGGCCTCAGGTCAGGGACCTGCCACCTGGAGGCCGGCCAGGATCCCAGGGGAGAGAAGGTTCCCTCACCCACCTCCAGAGGAGAGGCATCTATGAAGGCTAGATCCTCCTGGGGACACACTGTCCCTCCTTTAGAGAACCTAGCTCTTGCTGGGAAGGGGGAAGGGGTCCACCCAGGCAGCAAGCAGGAGGCATGCCCACCCTTTCGGGGTTCACCGAGCTCCTCACCGAGCGGCTGTCACCCTCAGAGCTCTCGCAGGATGAGAGGGTGGGAGAGCCTTTGCACAGACAGGGCCTTCTGGAGGATCGACGCCTTTGGCCTTGGAAGCAGAGGTGGTTTCTGCCATCTCCTCTTGCCACGTCCTGACACTTGGGGCGCTGAGATGCCGGCTGGCAATGGGGAGCCACACCTCGCGGTGCCAGCAGCTAGGTGTGCAGTGGCCGGCAGAGATGGCATCCAATAGCTCAAAGAGGACAAAAAAAAAAAAAAAAACCCTCTTGGCCGCTGGAGTAAACATTCTTCTCTCGTTTCTCGTTTCCCTGGAGAGAAACAGTGGCGAGGATGGCCACCTGATTTCTTGCACGGGAATCTTCGGTCCCCGAGTGGAAGCCCAGACTCTTCATGATGTCCAGGACGCTGGGTTCCGAGGCCTCCAAGCCCCCACAGGTGAGCACGTGCTGGCCCGTGTACGTGGCAGCGTTGGGGCTCCCTAGTATCTTACAGAGAAGAAGAAACAGAACGGAAATGTAGTGGCGGCGAACACTGGCAGGAGCCGCACTCTCTGACTCTGGGGAACGCAAGCCAGCCCAGGCTCCACAGGGGCAGACCTCGCTTCCTCCACTTGAATCCCACTTCCCCGCATCCTGGAGGCCGAGCGGCCTGCTTGTGGCTAGAGAACGCGGTGCCTCATCGGATGCGCAGGACCCGAACTGCCAAGGCGAGTGGGACGTGGCCTCTCAGGAAGGAAGCTGAACACATCTGGGCTGAGAGGTCAGGGTTCTGAGCATTGTGGAATGTGGAGTCCAGGGCTGTAGTGACCTCTGAAGTTCTGGCGCGGAGGACAGACCGGAAATACACACCTGATTCTGCCAGCCTCACCCTGGAAAATTGCACGTCCCGCGGGAAGCCAGACCCCACTCGCAGCGACCCCTCAGTTTCCAGACTCTTGCCTAGAGGAACCCCTCCCCAACAGACGCACAACAACAAGTGGGTGGCCTCCTGGAGCACCGGGCAGCCCTCATAGCCCCAAATCCAGGGTCCTGCCCACTGAGACCCCATAGGCCCAGTACCCCCAGATTTGCGTCCTGCCCCTGGAGAGAGCAGGAGCCTTCAGGGCCTCCATATCTCTTTGGGCCCATAGAGGGCGCCGCGAGCCCGCCCAATTCGGACGCCTGATTGCCGCGCGGCCACTTGGCCAGCGCCCGCCGCTGGCCCAAGTCGGGCTCTGCTCCTCCTCGAGGCTCAGGCCTCCACCTCACGCCAGTGCGCGTCCTCGCCGGCGCCCTGCCCTTTCCTGTCCGCCGTGCCCTTCTGGCCTCCTCCTGGAACTTCTCCTCCAGCCTCGGCTTGGGAAAGGGACCCTACCCTCTAATCGGACGGCTGGGGTGGGAGAAGGAAGCTGGACCCAAGAGGGCGAGCCAGGCCCCCCATGGAGTCGCACCTCCGGGTCCCCAACGCAGCGAGGTCTCCTGCCTGCAGACCTCAGAGGAGTCTTGGGCGGAGACCCTGATCCCCCTACGTCCCCCTCCGGGAGCCGCGTCTCCCGACCCGCAGAACGCCCTGGGGCCAGGAGGGGCGCAGCGTCCCGGCCAGGAAGCGCATCTCAGGACCTGGCTGGGTGTGCAGTCCCTCCGCGGGGACGCGGCCCTCTCTGCGCTCGCGCTATCGCCAGCAGCCCGGGACGTCGCTGCGGGTTGGGAAAGGTTTGCTGTCTCCGTTGGCACGATTTCAGCACAAAGTCGTTTGCACCCCAAGGGCGTCTCGGCGGAGACGCGGCAGTGGCCCGGATTTCCGGAGGACCCACTGCGCTTCTCCCAGCCCATCTCTGACCTGCTCCCTTCAGACTTGGCCCGGTCCGGGCGTAGTCGCCTGAAGTCGGTCCCAGCTGCCTTCCCTGCCCTGGGCCGTCTGGGGACTGATTTACTCCTGGGATCTCTCAGGGAGTGTATCGCAGGTCAGGAGGACTTGGGCGACGGCAGAGGGGCTTAAAGGGGCGCCTCAGGGAAAGCGCACTTCCCTCCCCTCTCCCTGCCCTCAGCTGCCGCTGCAGCCGCCGCAGGCGCCCTGCTCACGGGCCTAGCGAGCCCCCCATGGGGCCGCAGCCCGCCCATTATGGGAGTTTAAAAGAGCCTTACAATGTCTCCACGTTTGACTTAACTGAGTAACTAAAAAATGCATTCCAAACCCAATTGCATATTCCATTATTTCCTCACTCCGTCCACCCAAGGCCGTGGCGCCAGCGCGGACCGCTGAGCCACTAGCCATAAATTGATTCAGAATCCTAACTTATCCTTTGGGGTCCTGCTTGGAAATTCTTTCCATTTTTCCCCCTTTAAAAAAAAAAAAAAATCATTTTATACAGTGCGTCAATCGAACTCATTTTTGTCCTGAGAAAGGCGTGCCCCAGATAAATGGTTGTACAACAGTGGAAAAGAATTCAGCGGCCAACTGGAAACTGTCCTCGTGACAATGTTAACAATTCAACAAAAACAGCAATACCCGGGCACGGACTTCTTGGGTGGAAACCCGTTCTGCAGGTCCTATCCGAGGGGCTGCTTTCCCCCAAGCGCCTGCCCCAGGCAGAGCCCCGGGCCAGGAATTCGGGACCCAGGACCCTCCCCTCCCAGCTACACACAGCAGCAGGGCCAGCGGGCATCATTTCACTTAGTTTATTAGACAAAAATATATGATTTAGACAAGTTCGCTGACGCGCTATTTACAACCTGAAATCACTCTATATACAGAAAGAAAGAAGGAAAACGAGACACAGCGCGTGGAGGCTTTTACCCAGAACCGACCGGAGAGCTGTGAGTGCGCCCCGAGCCGGGGTCGGGGCAGCGCGGACCCCGCTCCGGCCGGACGAGCCCCTCTCTGCAGAAAGCGATGCATGGGAGTCGTTGACGTCGTGGCCAAAACTGTCCTTTACACCAGTCTGAAATATTTGTCTTAATTTCTCCCTCATTCCCTCCCTTCCCAGCTCCCCCCTCCCCCCGCAAAAGTAAAAGAAGACCCTTAATCAGGCGGAAGGGAGGGCTGCTAGAATCCGCGGCGTTCCCTCCTGCGGGGCCAGCGAGCTGCAGGGGAAACAAAGCAAAAGAAGAAGACACGGAGCCTTGTCAGTGGATGGGCGCTGCGACCCGGCGGCGCCGGTTCCGCCAGCAGCGAGCCCTGGGGCGGGGTGGGCTCCCTTGCGCGACTCTGGCTTCAAGAGAAACCCGGGAAATTTGGCCCGCCCGCAGCGCGGAGCTAGTGCGTGGCGTCTCCGTGCGCCGGCCCCCACCTCCACCCCGGGCCCAGGCCGCTAACGTTCCCGACTCAACCCCCCCACCCCCATGATGAAAGCAAACCACACTCACTTGTCGCGCACGGGCTGGAAAGGAGATTTTAACTGCTGTGCCGGAGAGTCTGGCCTGGGGACTAGGTCTCTCTCTGCGATGGAGGGGAAGAGAAAAGCATTAGGACCTAAGAAAGGTGCGGTGAGGGGAGAAAAGCATTAGGACCTAAGAAAGGTGCGGTGAGGGGAGGTACGGTAGCGCAGAGACCAGCAGGCTCCTTCCCTCCCAGCCGGTAACAAGGGCAGGGACACTGCAATAAGCCCTCCACCCACCCACCAAGTCCAAGGCGGGCCACCCTCCGTGCATTCAGGCAGGGCTTCCTAGTCAGCCGCTGAGCTCGGTGGCCGCTGGCCCCTACACACGTCTAGGAAGAGCCTCCCCAACAACCGTATCCCCCGCGACGCGGGCCCCGGCCAAATACCTGGGAGCGTTGGGCTGCTGCGGGCCGAGGCCTTTTCGCCATGCAGCGCCCCCGCGGCTACGGCGACTGGTGGCTGCGGCGGCGGCGGCGCGGGCAGGTGCGGGCCGTGGGGCGCGGTGTGGGGCGAGCCGACGCCCAGGAAGGAGCGCATGTTGAGCAGCGAGCCCTGCGCGAGGAAGGCGCCATTGGTCCAGTTGGAGAACTTGCCGATGTGGCAGGTGTACAGTCCGTGGCTGGGCAGGAAGGCGGGGTGCTGGAGCGGCGCTCCCGCCGGGGACCCATGCGCGACCGGGTGGCCTCCGGGTGGCGGCGGCGGCGAGGCCTTGGGCGCGCCGTCGGGGCTGGTGGCCGTCTCGGCCAGCGACCAGATCTTGGGCTTGCTGTGCGGCGCGCCCTGAAGGCCGCCCGCCGCGGCGCCTGGGCTCAGCAGGCGCGTGCTGCCGGGCTCCGGGCCCTCCTTGGCCAGGCCCAGAGGCGAGTCCTGAGGCTTGAGCGCGTCCACGGCCGCCAACGGCGAGCCTTGGTCCCGGGCAAGCGGGACGGGGCCGGCGGGCGCACGCGGCGCCTCTGCCTTGTCCTCGTCATCCTCGTTGCTCTGGTCGCCGTCGTGTCCGTCGATCTTGTCGATATCGATGCTTTCCAGGTCGATCTCCTCGTCGTCCTCGGCCTTCTCGGGGTCGCCCTCGGTGTCGCTGCCAAAGAGGGCGCCGTCCTCCTGGTCCTTGCTGCGCGCGCCCCACGTCACCTTGTTCTCCTTCTTGAGGCGCCGGCGCGCGTTGGCGAACCAGGTGGAGACCTGCGTGAGCGTCATCTTGGTGATGATGGCCAGCATGATCTTCTCGCCCTTGGTGGGGTAGGGGTTCTTACGGTGCTCGTTCAGCCAGGCCTTGAGCGTGCTGGTGCTCTCGCGCGTGGCGTTCTTGGGCCTCCCGGGGTCCCCGTACTGGAACTGCCCGTAAGGGTAATAGGCCGGCGCCGTGTGGGCCGCGAAGGTGGCAGGGTGCACCCCGGGGTTGTCCTTGAGTTCATACTGTGAGCCCTGCAGCCACAGACCAAGGGAGGGAGCAGAGAGGGAGGGGGAGAGAGAAAGATGAGTCCTTCAAGACAGGCAGGTGAGGGCCAGCCTCTCCCTTCCCCCACCCCCATCCCCTGTGGCAGCCCCAGGCCCTTCGCTGGGCCTCGGGGTCTTTCCCAGAGCGGTGGGCCCCCAGTCCACTCCGGGGGAAGGAAAGGGTCAAAGCCAGTACCAGGCTCCAGGAGCTGCCCTCCAGGCCATCACGACGGACGATTTTGCCACTCCAGTAAAGTTCTAGCAAGAGTGCCTGACACTTTCGCAGAAGCAAAGCCGAAGCCACCACCCCCCCTTAGAATTTCTCCAAACCGCCTGCAACCTCCCCTCCCCCAAGAGGTCCAGAAACCCTGCCTTCCACGTTTCTCTGACTGGCTCACCTTTAAGTAGCGTCATAACACAGTTTTTCCGATCATGAAATACCGACAGCCCAAGGCCTTTCCTTCGACCCTGAGAGGGTCAAACAAAATAAACCGTCCCGGTGGTTTCGGGTCCAAATTCGGGCGCAATTAAAAACGAAAGCATACTCCCTATATGTCCCCAAACGAATCTGCATATAATGACTGGCCCACACTTAATGCACTACAGTGATGACACGTAATTTTAAATTTTAATCCCAGCCATCATCGACAACAATAACAAAAACACCATTTGTTTTCTTAAGTACAAAAGGAGGGCTTAGCGGGTAGAACATTAACGCCAGGGCCCGGAGCGGCGGGCCGCGTGGAGGAGAAGCTTCCGTTCCTAGGGCCTCGCTGTGGTTACTTTATCTCTTAAGTTTGCCTTTGATCTGCAGCGAGCAAACACCGACCGTTTGCGGGGCGTTTAGAGGCCGTGATTTATTTGCAATCAATATTCTTTTTATCATCAGTAGTAAAACACAGCGAGTCAAATTATCCCATCAGGTGTTTTGGTAAATAACATTTTATCTTTCTAACAACCTCATTAGGCCTCATTATTACCATAAATTGCTCAGATGTTCGCTCTCCGCTTTCCCTTTGACTCCCAAACACCTAATGTTAACGTATTAGAAAGTGAGGCCTAGCATTGGGCTGCGAGCTTCGCTGGCTGACTTTCCAAGAAGCTCCAGGAGACTGGGGGACACACAAACCCGCCGGTGGGGAGGATTTTTACCTATTGGCCCTTTCAAGAGAAACCCCGAGTCCCCGTTGCCCACCTCAGCACGAGGGAGCAGATCTTCATTGCACCCCCAGCCCCACGCACGCCCAAGGGTTCTGTGTGTGCTAAATAGGACCCCTCGTATTCCCAGTCGCAGTAAGGAAAACAAAACAACTCATCTCCGGGCAAAAATGTCCTAGTTGCTACCGGAGCAGTGAGGTCTCTCTAGGCTCGGAGAAAGTTGTAAAGCGGGATAAGACTCCAGTCACTAAATGACTTTCGTGGCGGAGGCCACGGAGAATCTTGTTTGTGAAGCCAGATTCCGTTCGTCTCGTCTCTCCAAAATGTACTTGGCGTTTTTCTAATGATTTTGGCTGTAATTGTAAAGGAGCTATTTCGGCCTCTTCTCTACTGGGAATTCTTTGTGAAAGGACACCTTGTAAATCGCTCATCGCTTCCCTGGCCTCCCGGCCGCCTTGACAAAATGGGGACTGATCTTACGAGATCGTAAGCGATCTGAAAGGTGGCGCTCACAGAAAAACATTTTTCTTTTCTTTTTTTTTTTCCCTTTCAAAACGACAAGAAAAGTTCCAGGGAAAACATGCTCTGTTGGAGCCCCGTTGGCGGGTGTTTCGTTTCCGGCTCTGTGGGGAAGTGGGGAGAATTGGGGTGCACAGCCATTGCGTAAACCGTCCGGTAGCCGCGCAGGAGGTACAAACCCGCAGACCTCCTGCGCCCGGCGCAGCTCGCCAGCAGCCGGAACTTTAAGCCGCCACCTTGCATCAGACCAAGGAAAATGGATCCTGTCGCCCGACAGGCGGGTCAATGTCCCTGCAGAGCATTAAATTCGCCGCCCCCTCCCCCATCTAACACCCGCCGGGCCCGGAGGCTCCGAGGACACCATCTATTTGAAACCCGGGGACACTGTTTTCTTTAATCCTCCGTCACGTAACGCGGGAAGAAAAGTGCTTTCCTTTCGTGCAACTGAAAACTTTGGCAACTTAAGAAAGTCAAAGCGAACAGCGTTTCACACTCCTCACATTATTTCAACTTATATTCCATAAAATAATAATAATAAAACACTTCAATTGGAACACACAGCAAAAAAGGGACCCCTCCTGCTCTTCCGGTTTCTATTGTTAACGATTATTTCGGCCCACTCGATTGGGCTGGAAAGCCTTTCCTCTGGGAAACGGCTCCAACGACCTCGGCTCCGCGGAGGAGGGAGAAGAGCGAGTCTTCCCAGGCCCCGGGCAGAGCTAACGAGGCAACGCGCGCCGGGAAGGACGGTCGTGGTCGGGCGGGCCTGCCAGGCGGCCCCGACCTCCCGCGCGGACCGCGCGCCCCA